AAAAAAAAAAAAAAAACACATCATAGTAAAACCAATACCTTCTCAGCTTCGCATCGAAGCTAATAAAATATGCCAGTACATTTATTTTTTGGGCATCACCATTAAATCACTTGATCTGAGTAATGTATTTCATATAATAAATAAAGTATAAATTTACTTTTAGATTTGATGTAATAATTCAAAATAGTATTACAAAAGATAATCAAATAAAATTTTACTCCAGTACGATTTTTAACAAAATTTAAATTTTACTCTATCCCTAATATTTTAATAAATAGTTCATAAAAACATTGTAATAAACAAGTTCATCTTTCTTTTAAAATGTAAACCAACATTCCTATTGGAATATTTTTAATCACAAAAATACCTTAAGTTTATTCCCTCACAGAATGTATAAATTTAACTATGATATATTTGTTTTTGACTGAACACAAATGGATGTGTAAGACTTACAAATAAAAATAATGACTTCTGTATTGTATACAGTAAAGTAACAATAAAAACTTCGCCTAAAATCACTTCACTTTAACAAGCTGTAACGAATGAACGGTTGATAAATAAATGCCAGAACATACTACGCATACTACTTTCCTCCTTGTTATTGTAAAAATACGCCCTCATATTTTTGATTATTCCCATAAGTGTTAATTTTTATAAAGTAAAAGAAATTTATTTTACTTAATTTCAACAAATTTTTACTCGAAATTGAGTAATTTTTATACAATTTATTCTTTAATAGAATCTAGCCAATAGTTTTAATAACCATATTTTATATTTTAATCCTAGTCAAAATTTTACTATTAAACTATTTTTCCAATAAGTTTAAAATTCAAAAAAAAATTATAAATTATCGTTTTACCTTGTTAAACTAAACCAAAATTCATTGTCTGAATTTTATATGTTGACACAAATGTTTCCTAACAAATGTTTTATTTTTTGATTTTTTTTAATAGGAAAAATAGTTATCTTTTAATTCCTACCCGTTTCGGGTGTTGGATACCAAATACCCTAAAGGTCAATTGATATTACTAGGGAAGGGATAAGTGCAGTGGTTTCCTGTTGCCTTCTACACATGGAACCTGGTGGTTTTTTCCACCGTAAAACGCACGTATGGTCACCCATCCGTACACTACGACGGCAGGCTTAGCTTAACACTAAGATTTTGTCAACGTCTAGTGTATCCACCGCGCAACATTACACCCTAAAAGAAAATTATTAACTAAAAATAGTTTCTCTCAATGATTTTATTTCTTTTTTAGCTGATTTTAAAAGGTTTTTTATTTTTTTATGTTTGGTTTTCAAATCTATAAATCTTATAATGTAAAGTTGACATAATTTTTTGAAATTCAATCGATAATCAAGTTTTAATGTAAATAACAGAAATAAAAAAATATATAATTATATCGCTAAAATAAAAATTACTTAACATTCATATAATTTTTAATTAATTGTAAATTTTTTTTTTGAGTTATACATTTTCAATTTATTGAAGAATTTTTTAGAGTATAGTCTTATAATCAATTAAAAAAGAAAATTAATCAACAAAACCGATTTTCCGCGGAAAGTAATCATCGATGAATTCTGTAATATTATTACATATAATATTAACATATAATAAAATGTTATCATTTGTACATTTATGTCACGTGTTATGATTATACAAGATTTCCAAAACAAGTTTCTCTTATTTAAAAACAGTTAATTATTGGATAAAATCTACTTATTGTAGAGATTATTAAGTAACACCTATACGCTGGGCCCTCATTGTAATTAATCAATTAGATATTTTTCATAACGTATAAAACAGTTGAGGCAAAGAACAATATTTGAAACACAGGTGTGTTTCAATTATAATATATTTTGAGTGTATTATTTCCATCGATAAGCCAGTTCTCGAGCTTGTAGTCTAGTAGATATAGATCATTATTAAATACGATATGTATTTACGTATGTTAGAGTGGTCCTTAATTTTCAATATTAGATTTTTATGAGTCATTATCATTTATTTCAATATCTCTATTGTACAATTTAAAAACGATTTGATAATCAGCGAAAATATAACTTAATGATTCATTAAATATAGTAAATACTAGTTAAAAATATTGAATCAAAAATAAGGAACAAATGTTAAACTATTTAAAATTTAAAATAGTATTAAAATCGTTGATAACAAACAGTTTGGTTTTTTATGACGATAATCATCTACAAATTGAATCACAAACTGTTTTTGATCATCATTTTTTGTTTAATTATATTGAACTCCCTCATAAGCTTGACTCCACTTTCGTCTGTGTCATTAGTTACATGAAGTGTCTCAACAATTTCAAGAAATTCTTAGTTTTCATTCCACAATGATGGTTACTGATAGAAAAATAATGCTGATATTCCAAATTGTTAAAAAAAAAAAGAAATAGATTCGACATAAATAAAATCATACATTTATTTTTCCTTAAATATAATTACTTCATATAATGAAACATTAATTATTTTACTATTAACAGATGTATTTTTAGTTTTTATAATTTCAAACAATTCAGTTTTAATTTTAACTGTTAAAGTAGTATCTAAAATGCCAGTGCCGACGTTTCGGGTGTTAAATACCATAAATGTCCGCATAGTTTTTTTTGAAAAGTTTGACTGAGATATATTTTTATCCATTTTTTGATAATCAATAAGACTTTTCAAAAAAATAAGGCCATAAGAAGGAGCTAATAAAGCAATAGGTGCACCAAACTGTGTTTCAATATATAATCGAATGAGAAATATACAAATATTGCGCAATGAATTTTCTTCACTTTTTGATTGTTTAAATTGATCACGAAATAAAAATTTTTTAGTGAATTATAGCTTTAGACACCCAACGAGCATGATGCATTACTCCAGGATATTTAAAATATATGCCACGTGTAGGAATGCAATTTAAATTTTTAATTTTAAAATAATACAGATAATTTAATACTGAAAAATATTTTTTTAAACAAATTTTTTCTTAAAATCTACTTTACAAAATGACTATCTTGAATTCATTTTTACATTTATTGTAAATTTGAAGAAAAAAATTTTTATTTAAACTATATAAAAAACTATTATACAATTGTTATAGTCGCATCGCATAACATTAATTTAAAAAAAGTAACGCAAAATATTTACTGGGTAAAATTTTATTAGAGTTTTTAGTATTTCATATCTAAATTATTATCATTTTGTCTTCCATTGATAGAAAAATGGTACTATGAATAATTGAATATACGTTTAATTGAACTATTATACAAGTTTATGGTAACTAAATTTCTACTATTCAAACAAAATTATTAAAATTACTAGTCTAATTCAAAAATGTTTTCGTATTCTGTAGCAATTAACCAAAAAATTATTTGCAACTTTTCTTTTATACCATCTGGTTCATACGGTATAGCCTGAAAATTGTATGGCACGTCGTCGGTTTCGTGTAGTTTGGAAAATCCTGTAAATACTTTATTTAATATCTCTTCTGGTAATATGTGTGTATTGGAATTACTTGACTTTGAACTATTGGTCTCTTCTAAATTATATATTGCCAATTCTTCGGGTGCAAAGAGAAAATTTACGATAGTCTTTATCATGGAACGTATTATATTCATTTCATAAAAGTTAATGAGAGCTAAGTTAACTTGACAGAATCTATACCTTAAATAAGTGGAACTTTTCAATTTTTCGAGTGCTTCACTCAATTTATTAAAAACATCATTAAGTTGATTCCGAAATTCTAATGGTAAACAATTAATATATAGTGCCTCATAGATATATGTGACTAGTAAAAGCGCATACTTAAAAATTCGTCTGTTCATGGCTGTTATTGCTTTTTTTAGAGCTTCATTAACAGTCAATTGGTACGTTGTCGAGTTATTAATCATATTTTCAAGTGTTGTATGGGATTTATTAGGATAATATAATTCAATAAGATCCTCTTTGGCATATTTCCATATAGACGAACTTTCGATTTTTCTAAGCTGACTTATGATTTCTGTATCGTAAACCGTATCATTATCTAGAGGTCTATTAATAGGAAGATTAAACTCCTGCAAAAATAAATTAAAAATTTATAACAAAATTGTATTTTAAAATAAAAACACGCCTAGTTGTACATTTTTTAAAAAGTAATAAAACGTTGTCAAATTGAAATGAAAAAAAAATGTGCACAAAGTGAATTTCATATTGATTTTTTTGTGAGGAAGGGCTGGGGGAAATATGTACCCAATCTTTTCTCTTAACTGTGAACGTACTAAATTCATAAAAAAAACTACTTTTTAAAAATAACTTATTTAACTTGATTTAAACTTATATAAATTGGTTTAAATCAAAATTAATATTTTCAAATAAAAAATTAAGGTGGATTTTTTTCCCTTTTCACCCCTTTCTTTATACTCCATTGTTACTCACACTTAATTCTTATAAACATAAATGAATTTAAAATAAGTTTGAGTACAGTTATTTATTAAATTCTTTTGAAGTTTTACATACAAATTGTGCTTTTTTCTTTAACTTTAATGTCCGTTTATACCACAAAACAAATCCGGAGGTCTTAATTTTAGTTTCGATGCGAAGCTTAGAAGGTATTAATTTTACCATGATGTGTTTATTTTTTTATTTTTTGTGTCTGTCACTACTTTTTCTCAGCTCTCACTGGACCGATTTCTTTTAACAATACGTCAAAAGATCACAAATTGTATCTAGTTGAAGACATTACCCTTAAAAATTTAAAAATTTTCCCTCGTTCCCCGCAAATGGGGGAAATATCCAAAAAAATTACAAATTTAAAAATCGACAAATTTTGTCATTTTTTTCACTTTTTTTTCTTAAAACTTCCATAACTTTTTCAAAAATCAACAAATCAACATAATTTTTTTTTAAACTAAAACCTTAGATATTTTCCTTTCATTTGATATAATTTTTTTGAAAATTTAACACTTAACCTGCTCATGGGGGGGGATTTAAAATTGCAACTTTTTTACAAAAACTAACTTTTTCAACTTAATTTTTGAAAATGTTCCGGAAATACTGCGTCCTTTAAACATATATCAAATTAAAGCTTATTTTATGTACTATAAAATGAAAAAAAAAAATTTGTCCCGACACTTTATCTTCTGCATGTAAACGGTTGCCGTAGTTAAAAAAACACTATTTTTGTGTTAAAATTTTCGATTTTCAATTTTTAATTTTCAACTTAAAAATGCTATAACTTTTCGAAAAATGCATGTATCAGCACAATTTTTTTTTTTCTAAATACATTATAAGTACATCTTCCATTTGACATACTTTTTATTAAAATTAGACAATTTCCCCTTATATAGGGGGGGTTCAAACTTTGAAACATTGTATAAAAAATAGAACTTTTTCAACTGAACTTTTGAAAATGTTCCGGAAATACTGCGTCCTTTAAACATATATCAAATTAAAGCTTTTTTTATGTACTATAAAATGAAAAAAAAAAATTTGTCCCGACACCTTATCTTCTATGTGCAAATGGCTGTCGAAATTATAAAAAAAATGTAATATTTGCGATAAAAATCACCTTTTATAACGATGTTTTTTGTACTTAAAACTGCCATAACTTTTTCAAATATTAACTAATCAAAATAATATTTCTTTATATTGAAACCTTAGGTAATTTTCTTTCATTTGATATCATTTTTTTTTGAAAATCTAACACTTATTCTGCTCACAGGGGGGATTTAAAATAGCAACTTTTTTACAAAAACTAACTTTTTCAACTTAATTTTTGAAAATGTTCCGGAAATACTGCGTCCTTTAAACATATATCAAATTAAAGCTTATTTTATGTACTACTAAATGAAAAAAAAAAATTTGTCCCGACGACCTATCTTCTATGCGCAAAAGGCTACCGTATTTAAAAATATGCTATTTTTTATTAAAATTCTAGGTTTTGTATTTTATTTTATTTTAAAATATTTTATTAGGGGAATAAACTGACTTTCATGAATATTATATAATTTCATTGACATAGAATAAAGTTCATAAGACATATGATATTATACTTATTAACATTTTTTACTTTTTTAAAGTCGAAAAAGTAATTTTTAAATTTGAGTTAGCTTAAATAGCCAATTTTATCATGCAACAAAAATCAACGAATAGTTGCCGAATGGGTAACACCTTGATCTTTAACGCCTAGGGTACGAGGTTCAAATCCGTTTGTGGCTTCTAAAATTTTGCATTTTTTTTTTGAGTTAGAATAGAATTTTCAAATCATTTGATATTTATCTCATTTAGATTCAATAATTTCAATAAATATAAAGGATCTTATCACTATAGTCTCCCCTCGTGAGAAGAAATTGATATTCATGTTAATATTATTTTACTATGTGGTTCTTTTTCTGGCTACGATTTATTTTGCCAACCCTCACTAGACCTACTTTTTTCAACGATACGTCAAATGATTCATTTAAGTTTATGATATTTAAGTTAATGATTAGTTTAAGTTATTACTCTTAAAAATCAAAAAAATATTCCTTATTCAAATAAAAAGTAGCTTAACTAGATTTGTCCATACAAACAATTAAAATCATTAATTTTTAATATTCTTAAATTATTTATTGTCGAATTAAATTTGATATGATAAAAGTATTCAACTACAAAAGTAAATAATTTTACTTTATAATTTATTAATTTTTTAACTCTATTTCTGTGTGCTACTACCAGTCTATAATATGCCAAATTTTTTAGTAATATGTTGCTATATAAATCATAAATTTAAAAAAAAAATGATTTTTAGTTTCACCTGAAGTTAACGATGGAGTTTTACAATTATAATTATATTTTTGATAATATGCTCAATTGAGTAAATCTTTTTAACTACTTTGGTTTGATTGGTTCATTTAATTAAAGTAAATTATTAAAATTAATTAAGTTCTGAATATTTCAATTGCAGAATTTTTTTAAACACCAAAAGTTATTAGGATATGATTACTATTCTTTCTATTTCAGTTATCTATTACGATAAAAATGTAAAAAAATCGAATTTTTCTGACAAATGTACTGTAATTAGTAATTATAAAATTTCCAGATTGCATATTAATCTTAAAAATTTCATTTTTTTCAATTTAATAATGTCAATTTCAAACTTGCAAGTTGAACTATAAGTTATGGTAACAAATTCATTTTTTAGCTTCGATGCGAAGCTGAGAAGGTATTTTTCATTAAAACTTTCACTTTAAAAGACAATAAAAAATAGGTTCAAAATGATTACCTTTAACATATTAAAAATCAAAATCAGTATTAATTTAATACAATTTTTTTTGTTCTTAATTATTTTTTTTTATATGTAAATACTTATTTTTTAATAATAAGTAATAATATTAAAACTTAGAAGTAATAAAAAAAGTTTAATTGCACATTTGAAAACATCGCGAAAAGTTTATTTAGAAAAGTATATTTTTTTTTCTGATGAAAGTTCCTTTTGTTTAGTGTATTTATTCATAAATAACAAAATTTTTTTATTAAAAAGTATTGCATCAATTCCTTTAAATTTGTATACGCATTAAAAGTATATGAATATACAACTCCTTTTTATTTTTATAATATCTCCGTAAAAATTACAATATTATATTATTGAATACCACTTTCATACTCAATTTAATTACTGTAATTATTATGTATTCATATATTATAATTATAAATCGGGGTAAAATTAAGGGAATAAGTGTTATTGTTGTTTTTGAAATACTCTACCAATTTCATTTTTTTCTATTTAATGATATCTATTTCAAACTTGCAAGTTGAGTTAAAAGTTATGGTAATAAATTCATATTTTTTTTTTTTTAAACTTTCACTTTAAAGGACAAAAAGAAGTTGGTTCAAAATGATTACTTTTAATATATTAAAAATCGATAATAATTTGAAAATAATTAATTATAAAAATTATATAATAGATAATTAAACGAATTACTAATCTGGATATAATTATGGAAATAGGAGTTGATGTTGGGTTGGGTTGGTTACATTTTTAACTTTATAATGCTACAACTCATTGAAAAATGTATGAATCAACACAATTTTTTTATGAGAAATAATATTTTTTAATAATCCCTTTTTCATTCGACATTCTTTATCTTAATCAGGGTATTAATAAGGAACTAGCAGATCATGCAGCTTTTGTAATTATCCACCAATTTCTTAGAATTAAACACTATCTACTGATTTGCATCGAAGCGTTTCTTATGATAGTGATTTTAATCACTGTCAGATTAAATCTATACTGGACCCAACTATGCAACGTCCCCACTATGCCGCGACTCCACTGTGCTGGGTTTTTTTGTTTTTTCTAATGGGAACACGTATTTTGAATTTAATAAAATGTTTAAGTTTTTAATTTAATAGAAACTGGCATTTGAATTTTTAATACAATTTTATTCGTTACGTAGTTATAAAAGTTTGAATATTCAAATGTTTGAGTTAATATACATATATTGGTTAGGTTAATATTCGATGGATTATAAATACAGTTAGCTAATTGGTTTTTTATGACGTCAATATGCATAATTTAATATTAATAGCAGTAAGGCATATTGTAGTCAGTTTATAAATACACTTACTGGCAATACAGAAAGTTTAACTAATGATAATCAAAAGTGACTACAAAAACTCCGTGACTGTAACACCCTTACAAAACATAAGGAATGAACTGAAAAAGTATTACATAGTTAATAATTCAAGATTTTTGTGTAACTAAAGATAATCACGAAAAAAAAAAAATGTATTAAATATATTTATTCTGTAAGTATTTCAGTGGATTGTGATAAAAAACATGTATATAAAAAAGTTAGTATTTTCAGAATATTTTCAAAATCTAATTTTTTGTGGAAAATTTGTCATTTTTAATCTCCCTCTGTGGTCAGATAAAATATTTAAAAATAAATTATGCCAAATGATAACTAATGTATATATGAAAAAAAAATTGTTTTTTATATTCATTTATCAAAAAGTTATGGCAGTTTTAAGTAAAAGAAGTTTAAAAAATGTTGAAATTTACTGATTTTAAAATTATTCTTCTACAGGGAAC